CGTCCTGGTGTGAGTCGTTCGGGCCCCTCCTTCTGGTGTGAGTCGTTCGGGCTCTTCGTGGTGTGAGTCGTTCGGGCCCCTCGTCCTGGTGTGAGTCGTTCGGGCTCCTCGTGGCGTGAGGCGTTCGGGCACCTCGTCCCCTTTTGGGGCGTCTTGGGGGCCTCTTGGCGGCCCCAGGGGCTTCTAGGAGCGTCTTGGGTGCCTTGGGGGAGCCTCTTCGGGCCTCTTGGGAGCCTCTTGGAGGCCGTTTGGGGCGTCTTGGGGGCCTCTTGGCGGCCCCAGGGGCTTCCAGGAGCGTCTTGGGTGCCTCGGGGGAGCCTCTTGGGGCCTCTTGGGGGCCTCTTGGGGGCATCTTGGGGGCCTCTTGGAGGCCTCTTGGGGGCCTCCTGGGGACCTCTTGGGGTCATCTTGGGGCCTCTTGGTGCCTCGTGGGCGCTTCTTGGGGCCATCTTGGAGGAAAACGATCAAAGAAGAGGGGAGCTTTAATGAGCGCTGCCCCCTCAGAAGGGCAACATGGAGCCAAAACCTTCGTAAAATCAATGCTTTTGCCTTGAAATAAGAGGGGAGCTTTAAGGAGCGCTGCCCCCTCAGAAGGCCAAAATGGGGCCGAAACCGTAGTAAAATCAATGATTTTGGCTTCACAGAAGAGGAGAGGGTTTTTTCCGCCCCCCCCCGTCGGGGCCAGAATCCTCGTGAGCGGTGTCGTTTTTTAGCCCTCCCAGGAGTCGAAAATGACCCCCCTGACGACCCGCGGAACCCCCTCTCCAGGTCCAGGGGGAGGGGGTAGGGGGAGGGGTAAACCCCTCCCCGAATGGGAAGAAGGGGGGTTGAGAACAGAGAGGACTCGCTAAACCACTCACGCCCAAAGGGCTGCTTTGATTTGGGGCATGCTGGTTCTATATCTACCCATCGCGCGCTGGAGGCGCGGGTGCAGGGCCGCCGCGCAGTCGACGATGCCGAAGTCATCTTCCGTGCAGACTGGCGCGCGAACGCGCGCGGCCGTCTGCGCGAGATTGACGCAGCATGTCATGCCGGGGAAGTTATCGTCACTGCGGAAGTCCATGGGGCCAGGGGGGGCGTGACGAATAGTTCGACTTGGCGTTCGCGCAAACTTTTGTCACCAGGATGTTTCTCAACATTTCTTGCGCCTGGTCTGCTGGGGGAAGTTGTCTCATATTTCGCGTGCTACTTGTCATATCCTGGCATCGCCTTCGCCCCTGACACCTTCGACGGGAAAGCGGGCAAATCATGGTGGGAGCGTCGGCTGAATACAACGGGGGTCGAGACGCGGAGGAGAATGGCCAAAGAAGAGCAGCCAGTCGACAACTCTACATTGATGTCGAGTTATGTTTGCTGCGCGGACGCGGGTCCAGACCAAGCAGGGGCAACCACGCGCATTCTGAAATGTACCGACCGCAAACGTGCTGAGCTGCTGGATATGTTGGACATTCGGTCATCAACACCATTTTCAGTTAATGGTGAATGGCCAACTCCGCAGGCTTGGGAAGTATTTTTGGAAACATAGCGACAATGAGCAACGCGTGGCGGGCGCCGCACGGCGCGTCGAAGTTTCCCAGGCGTGGTGCAGTTTTTTCGGCACAGAGCGTAGCGACACAGTGGCTCAAAAAATGCTGCTGGGGTCTTGACAGGCAGATTTGGTTGTATGCATTCCGTGGAGCCGTTGTACAGTGCTTGCGGCATGGAAGAGACCAGCCAGATGTACTGCGAAGTGCTCGCAGAAAGAAGTTCGAACTGATATCGAGAGGCTGGAGAAGAGAGATCTCAGGGAACAAACGGGTGGCCTTGGAGGGCCTCTGTCGGGCCATCCCAAGGGCCCGCGCGGGAACGAGGGGTGGAGGAGGAGGAGGAGGAGGAGGCAGACGACGACGACGTCCACGACGACGAGGAAAAGGAGGAACATAAAGAGGAAAACGATGGGGCATCTTAGGGGCCCTCTTGGGGCTCTTTGGGGGGTCTTGGGGTCCTCTTGGGGCTGTTTTGGGGCGCCTTGGGGCCTTCATGGTGTCCTTTTGGGGCTCTCTTGGGGCCCCCTTGGGAGCTATGGAGCATCTCCTGGGTACATTGTGGAGACCATTGATCAATGGAGGGGGGGTCCTCGATTTCCCTCCCCCCTCCGGGGCCATCGACTTAGCCTCTTGGGGCGCTTTTGGGGGCCTCTTGGGCCGATCTTGGGCGCTCTTGAGGCAGTCATGGGGGCCTCTTCGGCCCTTCTTGGGGCTCTCTCGGGCCATCTCACGGCCATCATGAGGCCCCGAAAGCGCACCGGAAGCGAACGCGCGAGTTTTCCCAAGGTTTTTGATGGATTTTGGCTTCTCGGGGAAGTCCTGAGGGGTCGCCAAAAACACTTGCATCCGTCTTGTGGCTTTCTTGGGGCCTCTTGGAGGCATGTTGTTAACTATCTTGAGCCATGTTGGGCTATCTTGAGCGATCTTGGAGTCCATCTTTGGCTCTCCTGGGCCCTCTTGGAACCATCTTTGGCCATCTTGGACGCTCCAACCCCTCGCGAGCCCCCCCGCCCAAGTCCAGGGGAGGGGTAGGGGGAGGGAGGGGTAAACCCCTCGCCGAAGGGGAAGGGGTTGTGGAAGAGGAAAGAAGGACATCGTCAGACCATCTGTGGGAGGGCTGGTGGGACTAGCATTGGGGATGGCTCGGTAGTTCCTCCTACAGCACGCGACGGCGGAAAGTCTTTCTCTCACGTTATCCCCTCCTCTGTGTGGGTGCCGCCGTCGCGGCCAGGATCGCGGGTCGCGGTGTATCGCTGGCTTCGCCTATGGCGGCGAATGACACGAGCCTTGCGTACTCAGTGTTTCTGCCACCAGTCGAACTTGTTACGGTGCACATTCGGTTGTCCCCCAAGTGAAGTGCGCGCACGTGCCACGACGTTTTCTGCGGCTGGCATCTTGGAAGTGCTTGTCCGAATGCTCATGGTCCCCTTCAGCTACATATAGAGGATCAGTTCATTGGTGCGTCATTCGTGATGCAGGCCTTGGTCTCTCAGCGCCCGGCGCGAAGTGTTTTTCACGATGCACTTGGCATTGCCGCTTTGCGTCTTGAGATGATGGCCGACTTGTGTGCACGCCCTGCTTGTCGTCCGCCTCTTCCATTTCTGCTCCACATGTTGCAGCCTGCCCCTGACCCAGTGGACACCTCGTCGGCCTTGCTGCTGCGACCGGCGTACCTTCGCGGCTTAGTTTTAGTGGTCCTGGAGCGTTTCTCCGTGGCCCGGAATGTGTAACCTGATGCTCTTGATCTACAGCGCCAGCGGACGACGATCGTGCTCTGGCTCGTGATTTGCAGCGCCAGCGAAAGCAAAACAGTATGCGGATGACCTCTCCCGCCGCCGCAGGATGTGTGGATTGGGCGATTTTTTGCTTCTTTCCCTCGTCGTCGTTTCCTCTCCGTCTTGGCTGTCTTCCTCTGCCTCGGAGTGCGAGTGTGTTCGGATCCTGGCTGGTCCGGGGGACGGCGCCGTGGATAGCCTTCCCGCCGCCGGACGTGTGCAGTTGGCGCTCTTCCGCCTCCTTCCCTCCTCTTCGTTCTCCTCCGTGGTGGGCGCTCTTTTTGATCTCATCGTCTTTACGCTCCCCTTCACGTCCTTTGCTGGTGGGCCCTCTCTTTTGGTGGAGCTTCTAGTGTTAAGACAGGCATGTCCCTGAACAGGAGAATATCCAAGAATAGTGCAAAAAAGTCGGTTGACCATTTTTCGTGCTCTTTTGTTTGTTTTTGATGGTTTTCTGACAACTTGACTATTCTTCATTCGTCTTCCAAAATGCGCCTGCAGGAAGGAGGACATGCCCGACCTGATTCTAGTGCCGACCTGCATGTGCTGTGAAGTTGTCTCTTGCACACCCGCTCGCCCAGTGCAGGTTCTTTTTCTGCACGTCGATTCGGAGGCAATTCCTGGGAGGTCAAATTCTGTTTTTGCCCTGGTCCTAAATCCGGCTTAATCCAGCTTGATCCCGTTGAATCCAGCTTAATCCTGTTAAATCCCGTTTAATCCGGCCTAATCCCGCTTAGTCCGAGGCCCACTCTGGCGTAACAGCCCCCCAGTGGGGCTTAATCCTCCTTGATCCTTCCGACGAAAACCTCCCAGCAGTTGCCTCCTAACGTCGACCTGCACTGCGCAGTCCACCCTTCTAAACGCCAGACGGAATTGCACCGAGCGTGCCCCGCCTCAGTAATTACTCGCGACGCTGCCGCCACTCCGCCGCCGGAGAGAGGAGAGTGTGCAAGAGGCACCCGCGTGTCTTGCCCTTGCACGTTCTTGCTTCGCTCCTCGGTGCCTGCCCTGTCACCCGGGATTTCTCGCGTTCGGCTCGAGCGCACTCGGTGCAGGCCCTTTTGCAGTTTGTGCTGGCGCTTCCTCGGCATCCCCCCAACATACTTATATCATGTGTTCGTCGCCCCCCAAAGGGCGACGCGCGCACCGAGAAATCTTGTAGTATATGCGTCGTGGCGGGCGCTTTCTGGCCACACCGCTCGAGAAACGATATACTACAAGATGGGTATACTATATGTTCGGGTCGGACGCGCGCCTCCAAGGCGGACATACAGTATTAGTATGTCTCTGTGCGTCCCACTTCCCGTCAGCACGCCGCACGGCCGTGACGTTTACATCGGCGGGCTAGGAGCAAGCGTGCGCGCAGGAGGGCGCTCAGGGTGCCCCCCGGGCACTCTGGCGCAGGTGGTTCGGAGGAGGGGGATGGACTTGGCAGTGCTATACCTTGCGGAAGAGTGGCCCTCGCCACGGCGGGCGGGAAGAGTTGGCGGGGAGTGTTTGCTGGGGTTGTCCAAGGACGGCTGGAGGGTTGGTTTGGGTTGGCCAGAGGGTTTGCTTCGATAGGCAGTTCCTTCTATACAACAGGGTAAGTTGTTCCTATCCTTGAGAGGCGGGGATGTGGTCTCAACCTTTGGATTGTCAGAGGAGCAGGCGCAGGAGGAGGAGGAGGAGGGAGAGCAGAAAGGGGAGGGAGGGGCAGGAGCGTCGCATTCTCTGGCCCAAGCAGCTCCAGCGAGAGGCCGAGGCTGCTGGGCAGGCCCGCCGCTGCTCTTCGCGCCAGCGGGGGTGGTGGTGCTGCTGCAGCTGCTGCTGCTGCTGCTGCTGATGATGATGATGATGATGATGATGATGATGATGATGATGATGATGATGATGATTATGATGATGCTGATGATGCTGATGATGATGATGATGATGATGGTGAGGAGGAGGAGGAGGAAGATGACGGATAATGGTGATGGTGGTGGCTATGATGATGGTGGTGGTGTTGATGATGGTGATGATGGTGGTGCTTGTGGTGGTGGTGATGATTGTATTTGACGGAGGAGTAGCAAGAGGAGGAGGAGGAAGAAGAGGGGAGAAGGGATAATGATAAGGTGGAGGAGGAAGACGAGGAGAAAGTGGAGGAGGATGACGAAGAGGAGGAGGAGGAGCAGCAGGATGGAGGATGACGGACGACACGTATAGAGGAACAAGTGCCGAAGAGGAGGGGAGATGTGTGAAGGTGGAGGGATAGAGGCAGAGGGAGAGAGGGAGGAGGATGGAGGGTGGAGTAGCGAGGGGGAGAAGGAATGAGGAGGGATCAGGGATGATGAAGGAGGTCTGCTACATTGTTTTGGCGGGGGCAGCGAAGAACAGTCCAAGGGCCCTGTTGTAGACGCCGCTTTCAGTGCAGTTATGCTCTAAATAGCTTCCTCTCTCTCTCTCTCTCCTTCTGTTTCTCTGTGTCCCCCTCTGTGTGCCTGTGTGTCTCTCTCTGTCTCCCTCTCTTCCCCCAACTTGACGTAGTAGTTCTGTGTATATATATATATATATAGATAGTCAGGTGGAGGACCAGCTCTCCATCTATGCATGTTGTTATGTGTGTATGTCAGCATGCCAGTATTTCTGTATTTCTGTCTGTGTGTCTGTCTGCCTGCCCGTCTGTTTGTATGTATGCATGTTTATATATATATATATATAAATATATCAGCATCTCGTTCTGTATGTATGCATGCAGATATGAATGGTTGTATGTATGTGTGTATGCATGAATGTATGCATGCATGCTAGTACGTACGGATGTATGTATGCATGCATTTATGTGAATCTGTATGTATGTGTATGTCTGTATGTCTGTCTGGTTGTCTGTCTGCCTGTCTGTATGTCCGCATGTATGCATGTGTATTTATGCATGCACGTACGTATGTATGTATGCATGCATGTAGGCCGGTTGGTAGTCATGTAGACATGTAGGTGTGTAGGTATGTAATAATGTAGGTATGTATGTGTGTAGGTAGATAGGTCGGATGGTCGCTAGGTGTGTATGTATGTAGGTATGCAGGTGTGTAGGTGCGTAGGTACACAGACGCGGGAGGGCAGGGCCAGCGCGGTCTTTCACTGTCATTGGGTGCGTGGCTGAAGCGGGGATCTGCGATGCGGATTCTTAGTGTCGTCCCTGCCCCTCGATCCGCCCCGCGACCATCGCCGCGGCCAGAATCGCGACCATCCCCGCGACCTGCCTGCGACTTGGCTCCGTTTCGCTCGCGATGCCCTTCGACCCACTCGCGGAAACGCGATCGACCATTCGCGACCCGCTACGCGATGCACCCGCGCCCTGTCCCGCGCCTCGTCCCGCACCCCGTCCCGCGATCCGCCCGCCGACCCGCACACGTGGCCTCGAGCAACATCGGCGCCTGTTGTGGGCTTTTCCACCGCTGGCTCCGTGGAGAGTACTACCACCTGTGTGCCCCTGCCAGCGCGGCCCGCCCACGGCTCATTCGCGATACGTCCGAGCAGGCTTGAGAGATGCGCCCGCGGCGGGTGTCAGCCCTCAGGAGAAATGGTCGCTTTGCGGCCCCCCTGCGAGACCCGCCTGTGGCCCGCTCCCGCCGAGTCCCACCACGCCGCTCGTGAAACTCTGTTGTTGTTGCAGTTGTTATGTTGTTGTTGTTGTTAATTTTGTTGTTGTTGTTGTTGTTGTTGTTGTCGTTGTCGTTGTTGTTGTTGTTGTTGTTGTTGTTGTTGTTGTTGTTGTTATTGTTGTTGTTGTTGTTGTTGATGTGATTGTTGTTGTTGTTGTTGTTGTTGCTGCTGCTGTTGTTGTTGTTGGTGTTGGTGGTGTTGGTGTTGGTGTTGGTGTTGGTGTTGGTGTTGGTGTTGTTGTTGTTGTTGTTGTTGTCGTTGTTGTTATTGTTGTTGTTTTGTTGTTGTTGTTGAACATTATTAATTCTAAAGAATAATTATTGTTGGGCCCCCTGGTGCGCGCCCCCCCCGCCGCGCCTAGGCCGCAGCCACGTTTTCATCATTTTCGTGAGGAAGCCTCAGGTAATTCGAGTTGATCAAGATCCGGTTGTTTTGTTGTAATCCGTTTTCCCTTGCAAAAAACACTATAAAATGACATTTCTTGTTCTAATATAATCAAATTTCAAGAATCCCTTGCAAAAAATAAGGTAAAGTGGACATTCGCGCGCGCAAGACGAAATCCTTCCAAAAGCTTAGTGTTCGGAGCGATTTTAACATAAAAACATCAAAAAACCAATGGTTTTTCAACAAAAAAATGTCAAAATCTCATCCCGCGCGCTCTTGCGGATTCGTAGGAAACCCAACACTTTTTAAACATTTCTGTCAAACGGGCTTTTGCGAGCAACTTTTTCGAACTTCTGCGACAACGGTTGCGCACCTGCCAGGGCCATCATCCCTGTCAAATAATACCATGCGGGACACATTCGTCTCTCTGTATTATGTATTGTATGGCACAATTGCACCATGCTGGGCACATGCGCGCCCCGAATAAGTGACCAAGTTCTGTGGGTGTGTACCCCACGCCAGTGTAGTAGCCACGGTCGTCCGCACGCCACGAAGTGAAGTGTCCCAACGTCATAGGGCGGGAAGCTGGGTTTGGGTGGTCGCGAAGAGTCGTTTGGATATTTGGTAGAGCTTGTAATGCCCCCCCACGAAGTGGGGGTATTGCCTGGTGTCGTATGAAAACCCTGGCACTGGGGAGAACACCACGCGTTCGGGTAAAATGATTGTTGTTGTTGTTGTTGTTGTTGTTGTTGTGATTGTGGTTGTGGTTGTTGATGTTGTTGTCGTCTTTTCTTATGCTTTTCCTAGCAACGTGTGAAAGAGCACGTTTCACGGGCGGTTGCTTTGGGAACATTCGGCGGCGCGTTTCGAACCGGGGGGTGGCCCCCCCAACTTTCGGCGCCGTCGATCAGAACCAGGGGGACTTCCCTCCCTCTAACCCCCCCCCTTCCCTAACCCGCCCCCCCCTCCCAGGGGAGGGGGGTTCCAAACCCCTCCCACCCCTGGCGCCTGCGCCGGCGACGGCGCCGGCCAACAGCGCCGACGGCGGGGACGCAGCGACGACGACCAGAAAGGGCCCAAGGGGGGGGGTCTGTTCCACCCCCCCCCGCGCCGGCGCCGGCGCCGGCGTTGGCGGCGGCCAGCAGCGCCGACGGCAGGGACGCAGCGACGATGACCAGAGAGGGGCCAGGGGGAACCACCACAAACCACCACACCATCACCACCACCACCATCACCACCACCGCCACTCCCACCACCATCACCACAACCCACCACCACCACCACCAACACCACCACAAACCACCACACCACCACAACCACCACCACCACCACCCACCACCCACCACCCATTACCAGCGCCAGCACCACCACCAGCTGCACCACCATCACGACCAACACCACAGCCCACGACCACCACCACCACCATAATCCAGTACCACCACCACCGCCACCACCACTACCACCACCACCATCACTTCAACCCACCACCACCACCAAACCACCGCACAGCCACCACCACCACAGCGACCACCACGACCACCACAACAACTCACCAGCACCACCACCACAACAACCCACCACCACGACCGCCACCATCACAATCTACCACAACCACCACCACCACCGGCACAACCACCACCACCATTCCCAGCACCACAACCCACCACCACACCACAAACCACCTTGCCGCCACTTCTTCCACAAACACCACTTCTACATCCCACCCCCACCACCACCGCCACCACAACCACCGCCACACCACAACCACCACTACACCGGCACCATCACCACCACCACAACCCACCACCACCACAAACCACCACACCACCACCACCACCATTACTCACACCACCACCACCACAACAAACCACCGCACCACCACAACCACCGCCGCCGCCAAAACCACCACAACCCACCAACACCGCCGCAACCCACCACGTCACCACCGCTATCACCACCACCACCACCGCCACCACCACCACCGCAACAACAACAAACCACCTCAGCAGCATCATCATCAGCAGCATCATCATAATCGTCATCATCATCGTCATCGTCATCATCATCAGCAGCAACCTAGTCATCATAATCATCATCCTAATCATCATTATCATCATACTCATCATTATCATCATCAGCATCGTTACCATCAGCATCATACACCTTATCATCTGCAGCAATATCATCATCAACCGCATCAACATCAGCAGTAACATCCTTCGTCATCCGCATCATCTTCACGATCATCATCATACGCATCTGCATCCTTGTAAGCATCCTCATTCTCATCACCAGCATCATCAACAATCGCAGCAACATCATCATCACCGTCATTACCCCCTTATCCTCAATATCTCCCGCGTATTTTTCAAACATGTGGATGTTGTCTGTATTTGTCTACCGGCGTTCCAACCATACTCCGCGCCGCCATTGCGCGCGAGGTCGCGACCGGCAAAAGTGCGCGTGTGTGTTGTATTTGTGTTTGTGTTTGTGTGTGTGTACCGTGTGTGCATGGCGCTCCAACCTTGCTCCGCCTCGTCGCTGCGCGCGAGGCCGCGACCGCGAAAACTGTGTGTATGTGTGGTTGCGTGATTGTAGGGCTGCCCTTCTCTTGCACTGCGCGCCCCCTTGCACGGCTGGCCTCGTTTGATTTTTTGCGCGCGACTGCCGCGTCCAGTCCGCCCTTGTGCTGCGTCAGAAGGCGTTGCGTTTTTTTTTTTTTTTTTTTTGGTTTTCCCCCCTGGTGTTGCTCTCAGGCTCTCATTGGTCCCCTTGGTAAATATGAGCTGCCGCAGATCGCGTGGATTGCTTTTCGCGCGATGCTCCTCGTAATTCGCTGTTGCGCTGGTCCCTACCGAGGGGCCAGCGTTGTAAGCTCAGGGGCGACGACGGGGGGATAGGTTCAGGGGGGGCGCATTTACGCCCATTCGCCCATCGATCGCCAATAGGAGTGTGATAGCCCCACCCCGTCTAGGAACCCTCGGATTCGCGATCGTTTGCTTATCGCCAATATATCGGCCAGGTAATCGCCGATTCCGGATCGGCATCCCCCCCTAAGGCAGTCTCCTCTTATCTTTGTCTCCCGCAAGCGAGCCCGTCGCCCACCCTCGGGTCGCCTTCTTGGGCGTTGACAGCAGTTCGCTGTTCGCTCTGTTTTTCAATCCAGCTGCCTCTGGAATTTCACCACCGTGCCAACACATCATTCTAGGCGGCAACTACCCCAGGGAGATGTCATGGCCGCCCGGGGGCACCCAGGAGCAGGAGTGGTGCGTGCAATTGGGTGCGATGAGAAGCCTGGGTGGGCCCTTCAGCAGACGACAGAAACCCTGCCAGACAGCAGTTTACGTTCTTCCACGCCTCCACATGCCGGGTGGGGGGGCGAATCTTGCCGTGTTTCTCCCCTTCTCGCTCCCCGCGCCGAGCCGAGGCCGGACGCCACAGTGAGTTTCGACTCTTGCAGGTCCTCCGGCACGTTCGCGAAAAAGGCCCGCGGCGCGGGTCGAGCCGACCGGTCTCGCTGCCAGGGAGGGCCTTGTCTCAAGGACAACGGTAGCGGGGATAAGCTCAGGGGGGGATGCATCGACCCGTGGTAGCCCGTTCATCCGATGGGGGCCCGATAGCCCTTTCCCGTCCAGGAGCGTGCGGATTTGCTGTGGGGGGCCGTCGCCGATTTTTCGGCGATGTATCGTCGATTCCAGCTCGATTTTCCCCACCCTGAGCCCGTTCCCCGTAACGTTAGCCCTCATTGCCGCTGCCGGACGAGGAAGACCACGAGGACGAGGACGAGGACGAGGACGACGACGACGACGACAACGACAACGACGTCGACAACGACGACGACGACAGTGGCGACGACGACGACGTCGACGACGACGACGACGACAACGACGACGAAGAAGACGACGACGGTGGCGACGACGACGACGACGACGGCGACGTCGGCGACGGCGACGGCGACTGCGACGGCGACGGCGACGATGAGGACGACGTCGCGAAACGGGGGAGGTAAAACAGGTGCTTTTGGGACCCTAAATGCTCCCTTCTGGGCCCTGAAGGGCTTCTTCAATGGGCCCTACAGGGCTTCTTTTCTGCAGCCCTCGCTGCCCGTCCATTCATCGCACCGCTTCAAGCGACGCCCAAAACCCCGCTGGGGCGTGCACGCCGGGAACCTCCTGGCATCGTCGCCGTCGCCGTCGTCGCCGTCGTCGTCGCCGTCGCCGTCGCTGTCGCCGTCGTCGCCGTCGCAGTCGTCGCCGTCGCCGTCGCCCTCGTCGTCGTCGTCGTCGAAGGCTGTCAGAGACCACCAGCCTTCTGGGAAGCCCTCCGCGACCACTGGAAAGGCCTCAGAAAGCTTCGGAGAAGGCTTACAGAGCTGAACCGAAAAGGCCCGACCCCCTCTGCCTTCCCTCCTGGGCGCGCCTCCGATCACTCTGCTCTGATGTTGGTTTGGGGGACCTTCTTTGGGCCCACCTCACCGAGTTGTTCAACTCTAGATCGACTCTAGGTCGTCTCTAGCTCGACTCAAGTGTGACTCACGTCGACCAACGTTCGTCGCAGCATCGACGCACGCGTGGAGCGAGTGGCTCCTGGAAGATTCCCAGAACGAGCATCTGGCCCATTGTGCATGTCCAAGTGTGGTCCTTCCTCCTCCCTCTCCTCCCCCCTCTTGCGTGACCAGCTGGAATGCGATACGGCAGGTTCGCCGCACCGACTCCATCGCGGGCGATCCCAGCGTGGGCGTTCTAGGCTAAACGCAGCCAGTGGCCCAGAATCGGCCGACGTCGTACGATCTGCACGATCGGACAGCCGTGAACGCTCGAGGCTGAAAGATTCGCGCGGTGTCAGGAACCACCGCCGACGTCGTCATGACACGCATCTGCCGTAACCCGCCACCAGGATGGAGGAGTTGGGAGAGAGAGGGGGATGGGGGTAGTTTGTGTCTCTGTTCTCGCTGCCAGGGTGCGTTTACGCTCTTAGTTCCCAGCAGCGCCAACGCAAGACTGTGCGTCATCGCCCTCCCACTCGCGCGGTACCGCGTGGCATCCTGGCTCGACGGATTTTGACAATGGCGCGCGCAGAGATTCTGGCTCAAACCATTCTTAGCGTGACATTCAACCACCAGTTCTTCAATGGTTCTGAGACGCGAACGCGCTCGAGTTGCCAGCATTTTAGAGACGTTGCGGCCAGTTCCTGTGACCTTAAAGAGAGAGGAATCACGTTTCACGGGCGCTTGCCTTGGGGAACATTCGGCGGCCCGTTTGACGCGGGGGGGGGGCCCTCACGGAACATTCCCCCCCCTCCCCGAATCCCCCCCCCAAAAGCCACCCCCCCGCGCGCCCCCCCGGCGCCACGGGGGGGGTCGCACATCCCCCCTTGCGCCGGCGCCGGCGCCAGCGGCGGCGGCGGTTGGCAGCGCAAACGGCGGCGACGCGGCGACGACGACCAGGACGAAGACGACGATTACAACAAGGTCCCTTGGGTCATCTTGGGCCGTCGGAAAGCTGAAAAGAAGAAACTGCCAACATCCTTCAATCACCACAGGAAAATTCATGATTTCGGCCCTTTCGGGCCTTCCTGGAGGACGTCTTGGAGGGGTCTTGGGCTGTCTTGGAGGCCTGTTGCAGGCCTATCGGGCCGTCTCAGGCCATCTTGAGACCATCTTGGGCCGTCTTGGTTGCATCTTCGGGCTGTCTTAGCCGTCTTGACGGCCATCTTGGGCGTCTTGGAGGCATCGTCGAGGCCATCTTGGCCGTCTTGGAGGCCATCTTGGGCGTCTTGGGAACCTCTTGGGCCGTCTTGGGGCCTTCTTGGGGCCCTCTTGAGGGCCTCTTGGGCTGTCCTGGGGCCATCTTGGAGGCCTCTTGGGCGCTCTTGGGTCGATGTGCATCTTCGGGCCATCTTAGCCGTCTTGACGGCCATTTTGGGCATCTTGGAGGCATCTTCGAGGCCATCTTGGCCGTCTTGGAGGCCATCTTAAGCGTCTTAAGGACCTCTTAGTCCGTCTTGGGGCCTTGTTGGGACCCTCTTGAGGGCCTCTTGGGCTGTCCTGGGGTCATCTTGGAGGCTGAAAAGAAGAAAATGCCAAAATCCTTTAGAAACCTAAGGACAGTCAATGATTTTGGCCCTGTCGGGCCTTCCTGGAGGACGTCTTGGAGGGGTCTTGGGCCGTCTTGGAGGCCTCTGGCGGGCCTTTTGGGCAGTCGTAGGCCATCTTGAGACCATCTTGGGCCGTCTTGGGTGCATCTTGGGGCCATCTTGAGCGTCTTGGAGGTCATCTTGGGAGTCTTGGAGGCATCTTGGAGGCCATCTTGGCAGTCTTGGAGGCCACATGGGGATTCTTGGGCGCCTCTTGGGCCGTCTTGGAGCCTTCTTGGGCCCGTCTTGGGGGCCTCTTGGGCCGTCCTTGGGCCGTCTTGGAGGCTTCTTGGGCACTGGGGGCGATCTTGAGGGCCTTGTGGGCAGTCTTGGGCAGTCGGAATCCGAAATGGAGCAAAAGCCAAAATCCTTGAGGAACTTCAAGAAAATCAGTGATTTTCACCTCTTCGGGCCGTCCTTGAGGACCCTGGAGGATCTCTTCGAGGCCTCTTGGGCCGTCTTGGAGGCCTCTTGGAGGTCTCTGGGGCCATCTTGGCCGCCTCAGGTGTTTCTTGTGCGTTAGGTGTTTCTTGTGCGAACTTAGAGGCATCCTGGACTGTCTTGGGCCATCTTCGAGGGCATCTTGGACCATCTTGAGCGAACTTGGAGGCCATCTTGGGCCATCGTGGCCATCTTGGAGGCCATCTTGGAGCCGTCAGGAGGCGAATAACCCTTTGCAGTCGCCTTTTGGGTATCTCTGCGCGCCCTTCCGGGTGACCGGCGGGACGGGCCGAAGCCCCAGGGGAAGTTCCAAAAGAACCACAAGCAGCACGCCCGACGCCCCTGTGGCAAGCCAACAGGGGGCGGCGGATCGAAGACGCCTACGGCGAATCACCGCCGCCCCCTGCCTTTTGGGAAGCGCCTGCGTGGCCGAAACTTGGGTTTGAGCTTGGCCACGCTATCAGGCCACGCGTTCGCGTTCCCCGAGTGGGTTTCGAAAGCCTTCGGGGAACATCCAGTCGGGCGAGCTATCGGACCAGGTGGTTTTCGAGCTTGGAGGGGTCTTGGGCCGTCTTGGAGGCCGCTGGCGGGCCTTTTGGGCCGTCTCAGGCCATCTTGAGACCATCTTGGGCCGTCTTGGGTGCATCTTGGGGCCATCTTAGCTGTCTTGGAGGCCATCTTGGCCGTCTTGGAGGCATCTTGGAGGCCATCTTGGCCGTCTTGGAGGCCATCTTGGGCGTCTTGGGGGCCACTTGCTCTGTCTTGGGGCCTTGTTGGGGCCCTCTTGCGGGCCTCTTGGGCTGTCATGGGGCCATCTAGGAGGCCTCTGGGGCGCTCTTGGGTCGATGTTGGGGGCCTCTTGGGCCGTCTTGGGCCGTCGGAAAGCTGACAAGAAGAAAATGCCAACATCCTTGAGAAACCTCAGGACAATCAATGATTTCGGCCCTATCGGGCCTTCCTGGAGGACGTCTTGGAGGGGTCTTGGGCCGTCTTGGAAGCCTGTTGCGGGCCTATAGGGCGGTTCTGGGGCCATCTTGAGACCATCTTGGGCCGTCTTGGGTGCATCTTCGGGCCACGGCCATCTTGGGCGTCTTGGAGGCATCTTCGAGGTCATCTTGGCCGTCTTGGAGGCCATCTTGGGCGTCTTGGGGGCCGTCTGGCGCTGGAAGATCGACGATCTGGAGAGTTTACGGGTCCTTCTTCTGTGCCGGCGGGATGGGCCGAAGCCCCAGGGGGAGTTCCAAAAGAACTCAAACCGAAAGGATTTAGCACGCCAGGCACCCTTGTGGCAAGCCAACAGGGGGCGGCGGATCGAAGACGCCTACGGCGAATCACCGCCGCCCCCTGCCTTTTGGGAAGCGCCTATGTGGCCGAGCGTTGAGGCCAGATCTGCCAAGCTATTGGACCATATGTTCCCCGAATCGGTTTGGAAAGCCTTCGGGGAACACGTGGGCATCTTGAAGGTCCTCTTGGCCGTCTGGAGGCCATTTTGACCCTTTCGGGCCTTCTTGGAGGACGTCTTGGAGGGCTCTTGGGCCGTCTTGGAGGCCATCTTGAGCGTCTTGGAAGCCTCTTGGGCCGTCTTGGGGGCCTCTTGGGGCCGTCTTGGGCCTCTTGGGCGATCTTTGGGGGCTCTTGGGCCGTCCTCCCGGGCCGTCGGAAGGCAGAAAAAAAGTAAATGCCACAATCCTTCAACAACTCATGGGAAATCAAGGATTTTGGCCTTTTCGGGCCTTCCTGGAGGCTCTCTTGGAGCCCTCTTGGGCCGTCTTGGGCCATCCTAGGGCCATCTTCGGCCGTCTTGGTGGGCTCCTGGCCCGTCTGACGCCGTCGGAAGCCGTTTGGGGGGCCTCTCTGGGCCGACTTGGGGCCCTCTTGGGGTGCTCCAGGGCCGTCTTGGAGGTCATCT